GTCCCTAATGAGGCCTGACCGAGTCGAAAGACAATAGTTCCGTGCCCTAAATTCATGCGAACCTGTTTTTGTCCTTTGAAGTGACAAACAATGCATACAGAATGTTCTCTGAGCTCTGTTTGTCCCTTTACTCTTCTCTGAAATGGGGAGGTTCAGAGAAGAAATGAAGTTGGTTCCAAAAACATCAAAAGCAACTTGATCGCTTAATGTTTCGGAGACAATCGGACAAAAATCGATCATGCTATGACTAACTACTTTTCCCTCCTATGCATGAAGTAAGCTCAAAAGAGGGGGTAGAGACACTTTCCAAAATTTCATCAAATTTCATGAACTTGCTGTTGACAATTCTTGACACAATTGATTCGACATAGAATGTCGCAACAAACCCAAAGAATCAAACTCATTCTCTTTATGTCGGTTTTATTGATTTTAAACCATTTTATTCGTCATTTCCATTCTTTAATCAATTGTCTGAGGTGATGGTTAAGTCCACTAAAGGAAGAAGGAACATCAAAAGGAGAAAGCGATTCTAGGCTGAAAGAGATCGCCTATGCCCTTGACGATGAATTTCCCGTAGGAGATTAAGTGTTGCGTATAGGTCATTTTCCATGCCTTGAACAACTTTCAATCTTTTGAAAATAACTCTCAAACAAAGAAAAGAGAAAATAAGTGATTACGTGAAATTGATTATTAGATATGGGACTCTTGACACGAAAAACTAAACAAAGAAAAGCTATCAAAGCATGGGTCACACAACAACAATCTAGACATTTTGAACTTCCAACACAACAAAGCATATGTTAAAGTACACACAATGAAATAAATTAGACAGCCCTAAAAACAGCCTCTACTAATGTGAAAAACAGTGACCAAAACTTATGTTAAAGAGCACAAAAGGTAGATAACAACAAAAAGATACAAATAGTAAACTGACAAAAGAGGGGTGGCTAAACCCCGCCCCCCCCACTTTTGGACTTCAAACCACAGTTTTAGGCCTTTTTAAACTTTGAAATTAGTTTAAAAGTCAAAAGAAAAGAAGTGTAAGAAAAGGTTTGAGCTTATAAAAGTAGGTACAAGTAGGTTGTTTAATCCTCACCACTTTGGTAGCTTATTCAAACCCAAGTTTCAACACTTGACATAGATCACAATAGCTCAAGACACAAGAAATAGCTAAAGATTAAGTGAAATGAAAGCAAGAACAAAAGTTAAAGCTTATACCTCTTAAATGGAGTAACGCTTTGATTGTTGAGCAAACTTAATCCTAAACACTCTCAAAGGGTTGAATTATGATTCTGCAGGTTCAACCAAGACCCCAAGGTTAAGGTTTAACAGGTGTGTATGTGTATAACTAGGACTCAAAGTTGCTTGCACAAGAAAGAGGAGCTCTCAAATGAGTATATAGGCTCCTTGGAATTTGTTCAACCCCTCAAAAAGAGATATAACTCAAATATTTATGAATTGAGCAAAAAATATGTCGAAAATATTTTCAACAACAGACAGCTGAAGGACTCCTACCTGGGAATAGTGTTATTAATAAGCTACCAAGGCACATCCCCCAGGATTAATCTCACAGGTCTCTTTCGTTCATCTCTCTTCTCTCTATCTCTCTCATCTCTTTTCTCTCTCTGTCTCTCTCGCTCATCTCTTTTCTCTCTATCTCTCTATTTTTCTATTCTCTCTATCGTTCATCTCTTTACGCTCTCTTTTATTTGCGACGGCACACTTGCCGTCTCAAAAAGTCACTTTTTGCGACGGCAGAAAATGCCGTCTCAAAAAAGCAGAGTATTTGCGACGGCACCATTTACCGTCTCAAAAAAGCAGAGCATTTGCGACGGCACTATTTGCCGTCTCAAAAAATGAGAGTATTTGCGACGGTATTTAGTGCCGTCGCAAATGCTCTGTTTTTTTGAGACGGCAAATGATGCCGTCGCAAATACTCTGTTTTTTTGAGACGACATTTTCTGCCGTCGCAAAAAGTGACTTTTTGAGACGGCAAGTGTGCCGTCGCAAATAGTTCTGTCTCATATACCCAGTCAAGAAAGGAGACAACAGAGCATCTTGAGGCATTTTTGCTAGTGCAACTGAGTTTCTCCTCCTTTAAGGGGCTTTGCATCAGAAGTGTTAAAATATTCATTTTGATTTTGGCTATCCACAACTAATTAGCCTTTATTGAGAAGCAAGAGGGTTTCTCGTTGAAACTGCTCCCTCCATCTGATCAAGTATTGTTTTTTTGATTCGTTTTGTGCTTGTATATTACATTCAATTGATTTAGTTGTGTTTTACCATTTGAAAATATGATTGTTTGAAAACATATTTTTTAAAATAATTTAACATATTTAAAAAATATATATTTACAAATGTTGTGTCAACATATTCAACATGTCATAAAAAGATTATTTATGCACTTATCTATGTTTATAATATTTTCCTTCTAAAAATTAGTTAAGTTAGTTTGATTATTTAGTTAAAATAAAAAGTATGATTGGAGCAAACGCTAGCTAAACTAGAGGACTCGGGATGCTATTATGACTAAGTCACAGCAGCAATCTGCTATGAGTCCATGGGGCTTTTTTTTGAGTCTTTTTCAATAATTCGAACTGTTCATATTGTAGAGTTCGTCAAGTATATCATCCATACAAAAAATCAAGTTAATCAAAAATCCATAACCCCATGACTGGATTCAAATTGTTTTAAAAAAATTATCAAGATAATGTCAACCGTTTATTTTTTTAAAAAACAAATGTGCTCTTGTTATAAAGCTATAGATTTCCAATTAATTTGATTTTTTGTATGGATGATCTATTCAACAAACCCTACAATATGAATGGTTCAGATCATCAAAAAAGTCTCGGAAAAAGCCCGCATGGAGTCTTAGCGAGCGATGACGGTGCGATCTGTCTCTCTTCAACTCTCTCAGTCAGTCTCAATCTCTGAACTAAGTTAGCTCTTTTTCACCACTAGGGTTGGTGGCCTGGTGGAGGATGCGACACATTCCCTAGCCGAGAGTCAGGGTCGATTCCTGAGAGGGGCGTTTGAAGTCTCTCTTGAGAACACGCTCATACTCCCCTCGAACCCTGTCCTTTGCTGCGGTGTGTGGTTGCCCTCCATTGGTGCCCTGGTGGTGAGTCCCTCACTTAGTGGGGGTTAATTCCTAGCTGGCAACCGACTACCCCGGGGCTAGGGCCCAACGGGGCCATGATGACACCACATAGCCTTTTTTTTCCAGATAAAAAAAAAAAAAAAGGTTAGCTCTTTTTCTTCTTCATCTTCAAAAAATTGTTTATTCAATTATCAGTATTACATTAATGTAAATTGATCATTTTAACTAATAAAAACTCGATAAACATTACATATGAGCACAACCATTGAGATTAAAAATATCCAAACATCAATCAGAAAATCTAAAATTTTTAAGGAAAAATTAGAGAAACAACAAAAACATAATACTTGTAAACAAATTAAACTGCAACGAAACAAATTGTTCATTGTTGAAGTGTTAAGAGTTTATTGTTTATTGTTTATTAGAGAAACAACAGTTGCAGTGTTAAGAGTTTATTGTTGATTTCCTTTCAGGTAATCATGTGTCTTCATTTTGTAATTGTTTGTTGTTTTTTCTTTTAATTTTTTTCTTTTAATTTTTATTTTCCTTCACTACTACAAAAGTAGTTAAAGATCACACTTTGAGAAAAAAAATTTTTTAATGACACTTAAAAAGTGTGATTAAAAATGACCATTTTTAATCACACTCCTAAAGACCACACTTTAATAAAACTTAAAAGGTGTGATTAAAAAACATACATCACATCAAAAAAGTGTGATCTTTATCTATATTTGTAGTAGTGCTTCTAACATTCAGGTCACACAAATCTGCTTTTTTTCACAGAAGTTGCCTTAATTGAGGCCTGTAGCACATGACATGGATCTGTCCATGTTGCAAAAGACCTGAGAAGAGAAACAAGCAAAGTTTTCTTCTGAATTATGTTATGCCTCAGGTTTGGGTTTCATGGCGTTCCCATACTGCGATGATGTTGGTTCTCTATTCTCTTTTCAAACAATGGTTCATTATTGAGGTGTTGCTCGGGTGAAGATTGGATATCAGGTTCCATTCCTAACTCACCGCAAATGTTTGTTAACAATTAACCAAGAAATTAAATGTCCGCTTTGTGTTTAAGATTGCATGTCTCTTAATTGCTTGCTCTTAGAATTAACAAAGAAGTTACATGTTCCCTTCTTAGAACATGTTTTCTTTGTACTGTTTGAGTTGTTGTGATTTATATATTGATTATAGGTTTGTAGCCACTGAATATGCGTATGAGGTGTTTGTGAATATATTCATATGAGAACCCGCATGCTTACTTCTTCGGAAATTAGCCATCTGTGTTGGGCATACAATAAATACCTGAACAAAATTGCTAGCTTTGTAAATTTAAAGACACTACAATAAATTCAAAAACAAAGCATTGAAAAACCCTAAACCACCAAGAAAAAATGTGAATGAAGAAAATCACTTGTTAGTTCTTATTGAATGCCATAAAATATTGTTATTGTCTTTGATATGGATTTGCATCTGCAGGAGGGCCCCCTCTCAGTCATGAATAGAAATCTTATGTGATGGATTGGAACTCATCCATGTGAAAGGAAACATACTGAAAAACAGAATTGGAGAAATTATATAGCATTATATAGAAGAGCATTATATAGATTGCCTTTGGATTAAGAGAGAATTAGTAAAATCTTATCATATACCATGATTATTTGAAATCACTTGATATGAATTATACGGTGTAATGACCAAAGTATGTTGTTCATTGATAACTCTTAGCCCTTTCTATTATATACTCAATGTGTTTGATAAAATGGCTGATTACATCTTTTAGTAAAATGGCTTTGGATGTTCATACTTATTTCTGTTTGAAACCGGGAAGGGCCCTGTTTGGATGAACAAATAATCCAAACCAATTTAATTTGAATTATGGATTTTATTTTAATAAAAAATAAAATTAAATTCAAATGTTTTTGGCCCAAAAAGATTAGAAGCCCAACCGGCCGGACGGACGGCGGCGGCGGCGCGCTCGCGTGTGGTGATTTTTGGGTCCAATGGGTCTAGCCCATTTTGCCCATAACCTCTCCCTCTAAAACACTTGGGTACCCCTTGGGGCACACCCCATTTTTTTTTTTTCTTTTCTTGCCAATTTGATTGTTGCTTGTGTAATATTATATCAAAATGCATCAACCACAATAAAAGACCTGTTTGTAGTTGGCTTGACTTTGTTATGCTATTTGGTAAGCATGATTCTCTCTAATTATAGTTACCATAGACAACTGTCCATATAATTTAATTTACCCTTGTCATTGTTTGTAATGAGAGCACACCCTGCTTGGCATTATGATGCTTCTTGTAGTGTTAAACAAGTATTTCAATCCATTCTTGAGCAACCAAATATACCACGTGAATCACAACGCGGCATAGAACGCGTTACCACTTTGACCCGAGTAAATCGATACTCGGGGCCCACCTAAAATTAGACCTAACTTAGGAAAAATTAACCATTTCCAACAAATATCATTATATTCAGTCAAAGAAAGTTGTTGGTTATAATAACGTGTATATCTTGTCAAGATCAAAACATTGATTAATCTCTGTTTTTGCTTGTTTAGTGTGCTGGTGCAGCTGTCTCTTCTCTCTTTTGTTCCCTGTGGCTTTCATAGTTGGTTGCTCTAGCACTGTTGGTCAAGTCTCAAGGGGTGTAACTCGGGCAGTTTAGTCGGGTTGAGAGGTTATCCAAGCACAGCCCAAGTTATGCTGAGACTTACCCAGGCCCGCCCAAGCCCGAATTGTAACCCGAGGTTGCATATCCAAGCCCGACCTGAGTTAAACCCGAATTGCCCAAGTTGCCCAATTTGTAAATGAATTTCAGTATTTTTTTTTCCAGCTTCATTATTAAATTATTAAAATTTGACTATATTTACATTTTTTTTATATAGAAAATCATTAATACCATCAAAACAAATAATTTATATAATGTAAGAGAGATGCCGCTATAGTAGTGTTTACAATTTATAAGTGAAAATAATAATAATAATAATGATAAAAAGAGTAAAATTTTATGTTATTTGTATATATAATATGTATTCAATATGATTTAATAATCTAAATTACTTTAATATCATGTAATGGCTAATAATTTATATGTATATTTAATATTTTTATATATCTATATATGTATAATTCAGGTTTCGGGTTGCTCAGGTTGTTTGACGTTTTGTCCAAGCCCGTCCAAATTTAATTCGAGCTTCTGAATTTTTACCCAAACCCGTACCGAATTTGAAAATATCTTGCCCAAGTCCTAAAAAAATTCTGGCTAGGTTCGAGTTGAGCCCGCCCAAGTTGCACCTCCAGTCATAGTGCAGGAGAGGTTTTCATGGTAATGCTTGCCTAATTTCTTTTGCTTTTGCTGGTAGTTGTGCATGCCGCAGATGTGCTGCACATCTTGTCCCAACACAGATTAATACAACTTGGAAGAACCAAGAGTACACAAATATGTAAATACTGCATAACATTATTCAAAGCAAAGCTCATAGTGTAAAAAAAAAAAAAAAATGAGACACTCAATCCACACCACAGACATATCTCAACAAAGAGAAAACAAAGTTAAGGCTTTGGACAAGACCATGACAGTGTAAAAGATGTGAGTATTAAAAACCTGCAAACAAATCTCACTCCTTTGGATAACTAAGTCACTCAACCCGCAAAGGTAAATAACACTTAGCAATGATAGCAGGTAAATGACACAAAAGTAAATCCTAACACGATCGCCTAGGCACGAGAGACTTATGAGAGAAGACAAGACTTGAATCGGGTTCCCGGTTTGAGAGTTAGAACCGGATTTCGGTCTAGGCAAATTAGTGCCTTAAAAAACTTAGAATTCGAGGTGTTGACGTCCCAAAAATCACCAAATAGCGTCGGATTAGAACGAAACTTGGCATGAAAGACTTATGGGAGAAGATAAGACTCGAATCGAGTTCTCGATTTGGGAGTTAGAGCCGAATTTCGGTCTAGGCAAACTAGTTCTTTAAGAAATTTAGAATTCGAGGTGTTGACGCCCCAAAATCACCGAACGGCGTCGGATTAGGACAAAACTTGGCACACACAACCGCCTAGGCACAAGAGACTTGCAGGAGAAGACGGGACTCAAATCGGGTTCCCGGTTTGGGAGTTAGAGCCGGATTTTGGTATGGGCAAAATTATTTACTTAATTATCTTGGTGATTGTATAGTAGTTAAATTTTTATATTTTTTTGTAATTAACATATTAACACATAATTATAGTCATTAATTATTTTTGTTTTTTGTTTTCAGATATTTTTCGAGTAGAAGATTGCTTCTTGTAGAATGCATGCCTGTGAAGAATGCAACTAACTTTTATTTTTGTTACCCACAGAGAATGATGAGGAAAATTTTTATTTTTGATTTATGTTATTTTGAATTGTGAACAACATTATGTATTTTAACATATATGTATTATGCAACATTATGTAGTGGGGTAATCTTACTGATGTCTAGTTATGAATGCAAGAATATTTTTTATTATGGAGAAAATGTTATTTCTATACAGGAATTTTTATATTATTATATAATTATTGGTTTTTTTTAAAAAAAAATCATTTTAATACATGTAATTTGAATATTTTTAATAATTTTATTGCAGGATTATTTTTTATTTTTTATTTTTTTTGGCGACGGCACCACATTGTTACAAAAAACATTAGAGCTAAAATGTATTTTTTTTGGTGACATAGGCAATGCCGTCGTAAAAGAATTTTGGCGATAGAGGTCATCAGAGGTCATGCCATCAAAAAAAAAAAAAAAAAAAAATTCACAACAGCATTTTTTTGTCATCTCAAATAAAAATTTTAGCGACACTACAATATTGTCATCGCAAAAAGTCTCAATTTTTACATATTATAGACGATAATAAAACGCCGTCACAAAAGTTAACATTTGCTATGGCAAAAAAAAAAAAAGCGATAGCAACACTCTCTGTTGTGACTTCCTTTTTGCCGTCGTTAAAAGTTTTTTGAGACGGTATTAGGAATATTAGCGACGACATTTTGCCATCGCAAAAAATTGAAATTTTCATAGTGTGTGCTTACCCTTCTAATATTATATAAAATTTACATTTGAATTGGTGTTAATTGTCATATTTTTAAAAAATTTCCCAGTTATCTTCACATGAGTGCCTATAAAATTTTTCAGGTTTAATAATTCATCCATTAGGTGTACATACCACACTCATTTTAAAAAAAGGTGCACATACCACACTTGTGCATATATATATATATATATATATATTAGTGGGTGGTATCTGTAATGCGTGTGTAATTTAAATAATTAAGTATAAAAATAAATAATAAAGATATTAATATCATAATATGTATGTTGTCTAAATGGTAAGAGTATTCTTAAAAAAATTCAAGATTTTGAGTTCAAATTTTACTCACACCTTTAAATAATATTTTTTTATTTTAGGATAAGAAAATTTGCCATGTGACAAAAGGCGAAGCCATCACACTGTTAAACGCCAAGTCATGTGCTCACATATATACAATAGTATAGATAGATAGATAGATAGATAGATAGATATACACAGAGAAAAGGGCAACAACTCATAAAACATCTTGGATCATCCCACCCTCATCTTGGCACAGCAATGCTACATACCACTAATTTGGTATCTCTAACCCACCCCTAATGAGGTGGAAAAGGAGAAAGAAAGAAAAAAAAAAAAAAAAAACAAGACACAAAAACACTGTGGCAGTAGGTGGGACCCATTGCCACATCATTAATGATGGTACTAATTAGTGCTCTCACTCATTTTCTATCTTGGCACTTCACTTTGCCTGCTAGTCATGCTAGAGATCTCTAATTTGATGGCTCTAATCCACTACTAATAAGGTAAAACAAAAAAAAACGCAACACACACTATGATAGTGGATCATTACTGATGGCTCTAATTAAACCTTTCAAGATTTTTGCTTTGCCTGCACAGTGTTGAATACGGATCCAGATTAGGTTCTTTTCAGATGGACTTACCAAGATTTGTGGTTCATATCATCAGTGCCGTCCCAAATAGGGTCAGCCCTGACATTTTATTATTATTATTTTTTTTATGCAGATTCAAGTGGCACTCAAAAATTAAAACCCCGTCCTTATGCATATTTTAAAATATATATTAAAAAAATATAAATATAAATTACCCATATTTATTTGAAGAACTCTAATGGCTTGCAAATGAGAACCATATATTTCTCCATCTACATGCTATAAACCAGTGGAAGTTTCCTAAAGTGGCCACTGTAAATTTTAGGCCTTGCTTGTTTTGTGATTTGTGATATTATTTCAAAAATAATTTTTTAGAAAAAGTTTAGAAAATTTAAAATTTTGTTTGATTGTATATTTTGAAAATACTTTTAGAGTTTGTGATGATTTGATTTTTTTTTTTTTTTTTTTTTTTTTTAATTGCCGTCGCTAATGCTTCCGTGTTTTTTACCCCCTTTTCTTGTAGTGGAGAGAGAAAAAGTGATTGATTAATGTGTAATAGAAAAAAAAAAAAAAAACAATTTTAGAATTTTTTTTAAAAAAAATTCAGCCACACATGGTTTTAAAAAAAATTTCTTCAAAATATGTTATGAGAAAGCCAAACATGCCCTTAGATTTGTGAACCGCGTTATCACAACGGGATAGCTAACAAAGACTCAAAAAAAATCTAAACACAAACACAAATTTATGCCTCTGTTTGAAAAGGAAGGTTTGGGCTAAAATAGTCAGCAAAATAAGTTATTTTAGTTCAATAAAACAAAACATCACATCCAATTTATAATCATTATATTCTTTCTCTCACAAAAAAGTCAAAAAAATCAAAAAGTCCTTTCCAAACGAAACTTTTTAACTCTAAGCTAAAATAGTCAAAAAGCAATCTACTTCCCAAGCAAACCCATGTGAAGTGAACCGCCTTATATATCATTGTCATCATCACTAACTTATTTTTCTCAGAAATTTTCATGCATATGATAAACATATGCATGTGATTTATTTATCAAACTGATAATATACTATGTACGTACCTTCAAATATTCTCTTACTGATTTATAATCATCATAAGATAAGATATTCGTTGGTGTGAACCTAATATCCCCTTTTTGCTCCTCACTAACCTTTGGTGTTGCTAGGAAGCTAACACACACAATACGTCGAACCCACCTTTTATTTTATCCCCATCTCAACCCGACTCTAGTCTTGGTCTTAAATTATTCTCCCATGACTTTTGAGCATTCTTTGCAGATTATCTAAATTTTACCTTAAAATATTATTAAAAAATTTATTTTTAATTTTAGGAATCATTTTTTTATCTGCTTTTCTCAACAAACTCCATATTCTATTAAAATAATCTTTTTAATTACTTTTAAATTTAATTTTTTTTAATAATAAAATAATAAAAACACATGTCAACCAAACACCAGCAAACTGAAGCAAAACAACAGGGGAAAACAAAGAATGGCGGTCGACCGGTCAGGCCAATTTTGGGCATTTTCCTTCTTCAACTACAAAACACTCACTAGACATTCGGGAGGACATCCGGGAGGACATCCTTGCGTGCATTTAACGAAATAAAATAAGAATTTATGAGTTATGAGAGAGCTACAATGACTACCTACAAATAGGGAGTCACTGTCGCAACACTTATATTTAGAGAGTTGGATAAGGGATCTGTTGGGAAAAGATTTTTGAATAATTAAGCCCTTAGACCATCTCCAACGGTTCATCAAACTTGATATCAAATTTAAATTTTGATGAAAAAGTTACTGTTTGGTGCTCCAACGGTTGCACCAAATCGATATCAAAATGAGATTTCACCAAACGATTCATCAAACTGAGGA